AAAAAATGGTAGGAAAGCAACCATCTAAGTACTATTGCTGTATAGCAGGGGTGTCAAACTCAATTTCATTGACGGCCGCATCAGCATTGCGGTTGCCTTCAGGAGGCCGGGTGGGTGCGGCCAAGGCGGGTGCAGCCTACTGGGTGGGCGTGGATGGAGTGGGTGTGGCCTACTGGGTGGGTATGGCTAGCTCTACATCATTCGCATCAAGGGTGCCTGTGGGGACCTGGGCAGGAGTGGGATAGATCTGAGGGTCTCTGGCAAAAGGGGATGGGACAGGGCAAGTGCCAAGGGATGGTCTACTGGAGGAGCCTCACTGTTCCTCTCAAGCCATGTGGGAGGGGGCTTATGGAGCTAAGACTGAATGTGTTTCAGCATAGATGGCCACCACAAAATTGTACATTGGCTCCCGGCTGGCCTGGGCCAGGGCCAAGGCAGAGGGGCCCGTTCCCTCACTGTTTCCAGGATGGCTTCGCGGGCCACATGAAACCACTTCGCGGGCCGCATCCGGCCCCCGGGCCTTGTGTTTGACATGTCTGCTGTATAGGATATGGGATACTTTACAAAGAACAATCTTGATTGGCCTCTTCCTGAGAAATTTGCAATATAAGAACTGTTAACTAAACAGTTTGCCACTGTGGATGAAAATTTGGGACATTTGCATATAGCTCTTTATTAGGTTACCGCTTTCTAATGTTCGAGGGCCAGGAGACAAATTTGTAATGTTGAGAACATATTATGCATACCTTTGCAAAATATCTGCCATTCATGAATCACTCATTTTTCAGAAAGCAAATTGAGATTATTCTCTTTCTTTAAACTTAATATTGCTACATTGGCTGGGAGGCGGGCTCATTTTCACAAAGACCCTGAGCAGCAACTGTCTATCATTTTATTTTCTAAAAATGCTTCTGGTCACATGGGAGATAAAGTAATTGTGGCTGATGCATTACTTTAGGAGGATAAAGGCTGTGACTTGCTATCTCCTAATTTTAAGATGTGATTCTAGACAGCCTGACAGCAGCCGTTGACCCATGTCATGGATCACAGTAAGTATCTTAACCATAGTTCATTGGACAAGCTGCAGCTGCCCGGTCTCACAGGATGTCCTAGGCCAAAAATGTGACAAGAAACTCTATAGCAATAGTGTTGCAACCCTTGTGACTTTTTGCAGAACTTATGAAGGCCCTCTTCTTATCATCACCACAAACACTGGCCAACATTCTCTTTTAAAATGTACTGCAGTAACTTTGAATTTCCTCACAGCTCTGAAAGGGAACAGTGTGATTCATTCCAAAGGTGTGATTGTGAAGAGGCTCAAAGAGAAAGGATGGCTTGCTTTAGCAAAGCAAAGAGCTGGTTGCTGCTGTGCCTTCCGGATTTGCAGCTCTTTGAATGTGAATTTTTCCGAGAATAAATTAGAGGATCTGAATCATCAGATGGGAACTGGTGATTGAGTTGTGGAACTGAGAAACAAAATATGTAAAAAAATGATGCATATTGTTCAGATTCCACCTTGGAAATGCTGGCTTTTAATTCATTGTCTCTGCCTGCCCTTGAACTGAAACACTCATAACATCAGTTGTAACTTCTAATGGACTATAAAAACATGCATTGATTTCCCAATTGTTAAAGGAATGAACGTACCTGTTCCTTATTGGTGAAGAACACAGTTGTGCAATAGGGGAAATAGTTTTGAATACTTGTATGTCACTTCGCCTTTCTGTTCTGTGGGCAGAGTTATTGCCAAAAGAGTAAATCCTCAGGTTAAGTTTATAGTTGGCTAATCCTCCAGATAACAATCATCCCCAACCCAATTACTGTATGTATGAGAATGCAGGAGTGCAATAGAGCTCTCTCTAATAGGACCTATCTTAAGAGTGAATCACTGATTGCTTCATAGCTGCCACAGTTGAATATTCAAAAAGGGATTTTCGCAATAAGTTATACATAAACTGGGTGGCGGTTTGTTTCGTCATCACTTGCTGTCCTTCTGGTGCATTGTTTTCAAGGCTGAATTCTTCAGTTTTTCCCTGTTCTGTACGTATGCCATACTTCTATTATCATTTTGTAGCTAAAGACTAAATTATAATGGATATGAATGGATGTATACAGGTAGTCCTCAACTTACGACCGTTAGTTTAACAACCATTCAAAATTTTGATGGCACCGAAAAAGTGACGACTGAGCTTCACACACAAAACCGTTACAGTATCCGATGGTCCCATGATCAAAATTCAGGCGCTTGTCAACTGACATGTATTTGCAGTGGGCATCCTGATTCACACCATCAACATTTGTGACTTTCCCAGGGGATTCTGGCAAGCAGAGGGGGGGGAGCTTGATTCACTTAATGACCATATGATTCACTTAATGACCACAGCAAAAATATCATAAAATTGGACACGACTCAGTTGACATCTGCATCACTTGGTGACAGATGTTCCAGTCTCAATTGTGATCATAAGTTAGGGACTGTGTGTGTAAGTAATATCATATAAATAACTTGGTGGAGAACAAGCATGGTGGAGAACAAGCATGCTGTCGTGATTAGAAAGCTGGACAAGGAGCAAGAGAACCCAGGTTCTTGTCTTTCCTTAGCCACAAAAGCCAACTGATGACCTTGGGCCAGTCACTGTCTCTCAGCTGCCAAGCAATGTCAGACTATAAGACTATACCAGTGATGGCGAACCTTTTAGAGACCGAGTGCCCAAAAACCGCCCCCCCACGCCCCCGTTCCTGCTCCGCTGTGCCCACTGGGCCACCCACCACCTCCACGGCCCGCCACAGATCACCCAGGCAGCTCAGCAGTGCCATGGTGGCCACACCCTCCACCTGTGCCCCGCAGCATCATCTGCACGTGACTGCCCAGCTACCATGTCCTTGGCTGCGCTGATTTGCGTGGGCCGCGCCCAGGGGCGACTCTCCTCTGGGGGTGGCCGGTGGTGAGGAAGGGGCCGTGGGAGGAGGTGGGGCTGGAGAGACGGTGTGTGTGCCCACAGAGAGGGCTCCGAGTGCCGCCTCTGGCACCCGTGCCATAGGTTCGCCACCACTGGACTATACAATAAACTGGTGAAGAACAAACCCCTCATTGCATTATGTCTTGATGGGTTTGCTGTGAGAACTAGGGAAGCACAGCGCAAATGAACAAACTTTGCAGTGAAGCAGGACAAACAGTAAGTAAATGAATTAATCATTCGATGAGATCACTTGATAGTTCTGATGAATATGTGAGCTGTTCTGTTGATACATTTTGTGATGTTCCGGTATCTTGTGATGTACTACGTTCCTTTTGCAACATGCTGAATTTAAAATAGCTGTTCACTTTTATGTGTGAATCTCCTGATGCTGTTATTAAAAACAATTGCATATATGGAACTAATCAAACAAAACAAATTACAATTACGAGAAATTTTATGGTTGTTTAAAAAGCATAAAGATAGCTGCAAAAATAAGTCTTGAGCACCTCTTTGGACTAAGAACTTACAAAACTGCATTTCCGTTACTGCCTTTTGGAAAATGTAATTCCCAGGTTTCCTGATCTGATTGCAATATGTTTAAAGGGAATAATTAAAATCCCCCCCCCCCAATAGCTCACCATTAGTCCCTGAGGAATTTCTAGCACCTTGTAGGATTGTTGCACTTCTTGCCTACTATGGTATATAATCTTGGAGAATGCTGCAAGATGGTTTAACGCAGTGGTTCTCAACCTTTTTAATGCCGCGACCCCAACCGGTCGTAAGTCGAGGACTAAACCGGTCGTAAGTCGAGGACTAAACTGGTCATAAGTCGAGGACTTTCCCTGCCCGGGAGCGCCGCGCATGCGTGGTTCCGCCCCCTGCGCCGGCCGAGGCATAGCTGGCAAGCGGCAGAGACGGAGCAGGCCGACCACCAGCTGGCCCGGCCCAAGGGAGGTAAGGCACCCGCCGGAAAAGGGGGGAAAAATGGCGGACAAAAAAATGGCGGACAGCCTTGCTTGGCGACCCCCATGAAATGGTCGATCGACCCCAAATGGGGTCCTGACCCACAGGTTGAGAACCACTGGTTTAACATATTGTTAAGGTATTCACTCTTGAGCAGAGAATAATTTATAGCCGGCCTATTAAGGTAGCCCAGTTGTTAAATGTAAATAAACTATAACCATAGTCATTTTTAGCTATAGTGCTCTTTTTTTAAAAAAAATAAAATGACTTCCATGATTTGGATTTTGAGAAGTGCTGAACTTGTGTTTATGTGAAATAGACCTGGAAATCCAGCCAGTTCTGCCTTAAATATCACTTATTTTTCTGGATTTGCATAAGAATGTTGCTATTTCTTTTGCTGCATAGTTACTTAATGGAAATTCATCTGAAGCAGAAATAACAACCACTTTTCTTCTCTCTCTCTCTCTTTATTTTCCTTGTATCCTTTGCAACAATTTTCGGCAGGCAGCCTCACTTCTCTTGTGATTCTTTCCACAGTCTGCACATTTGGCAAATGCCTTAGTGCCGTATGGGAGGTGGGTGGAGAGGGTTTAGCTGTCATTCCTTCAACTGAGCTTGCTGACTTGCTTCAGTACATAGCAGGAAGAGCTTGAAATGATCTTTCCGGGAATGCATTGAAAAATGAATATACTTAATTTCTATTCCGAATGAAATAGCTCCATTTGGTAAATATCTCAAATATCTAAACGATAGTTCTCACAAGTTAAGGTTAGCAATACAAAAGGAAATGGCTTGCTTGGGTCTTTCATATGGATTGCAAAATTAATGGTCAGATGTAATACAGGTAATGTGCCTAAAATATAAAAATAATGTTTGAGGATACATTTCATTTTATCATTTATGGCCAATGGAATAAAATGCATTTTTTCTTCATTCTAGCCATTTTTGTATGAAATTTCATCAGATCTCTCTTGGAAATATGTGGGAAATTTATCAAAACATTCTTACTGTATACAAAGATAACAGTGACTAGAAGTAATAATGTTAATGCTATTTCCATCTTTTTCTAGGCAACCAACGGCAGAATTAAATGATTGTAACCCCAAAGGTTTAGAAGACTTTAAGAAGACTAAGTCTTGTTTCTACAAGATCAAAACTGAATTAAATGGCTGATAAACAGATTAGGTAAGAGCTTTTTTCTGTTCCTCTCTCAGCTATTCTCTCCAACTTTTTCCTTTGTGTTGTTACCACACAGTTCATTTTCTGTATCCCCAACTCCAAAATATATCTTCCTTTTGCCTTTATTTCTGTTTTCCCTAATCTGTCTTCTATATACAATATATTGGATTGCAGCCCCATCATCTCCAGCTAATGTTAACCTTTGGAAAATTGGATGGAGATGGTGACTTGTACTTCAGTAGTCCCTAATGAGAAAGCAGAATTTGGGGTAGGTTGCTTTGATCCTGCCTTTGTTACCCTTAATGTGTTTCGGTTGGGAGAGGATAAAGAGGAATTAGGGGCTAATTCAAACAGTAAGACAGGCATTCCATGGTAGAACAGAACTTCTATTCCCCTGTGGACAATTACATGTTTGAAAGCATATCCTCCCTCTATAAATGGTTCCTGTCTAAGAAATCAGGTTGTAAGGTTTCAGATTATCATTGTAAATGAATAAATGTTGGATAAAAATCCAGTTTGTGTTTTCTTAATATTTGTCTTTTCTCTAAAATTTATTTCTGATCTTTATAAAGCTGCCTAGAAGGGTGAAGTGAAAGGGGGACATCGGGATTGTTAAGAGTTAAGAGAATTGCCAATTCTGTCATGGTGTATATCATAGTGCTCTTATCCTTGTGTGCCTTTGGGTACTTCCTCAAGATTGGCTTACATCAAAATGGTAGAAACAGAAACCAAAAGGAAAAGAAAGAAAATAATATTTATAGGATATCATATCAGTATCAATACTAATGGTGGTATTTTGGATGTACAGGAATATATCAATAAAATATGAAATTAATATGTATACTATTAAGATATTTAATTTAATAGCTGGAACACTAAAGTGAATAATGGGCCAGAACACAGTGGTAATTGATTGGTTGGAGAGTGTGGGCTCCTACATGAGGCAATCTACATTATGATTGGTTGCTGGGTATAAAAGCGAGTTTCCCTTTTTTCCTGCCTTGTTCTTTTGTGTGCTCTGTGTGTTCTGTGATTTACCTAACAATTTATCTCATGATGTAGTAATGTGCCTGACTATCTTATCTACTGTAAATATAGATGTTAAATATATTTATTTATATAAAACTATAAGTTTGTGACAGCATCATTGACTTCATTTGGACACCTGCTGCACAATTCCTTGACAGATACATAGCCAGGTAATAAGATAATTAGGTTCCCCAATTTTGGTTAATTGGAACTTTATTCTCAACTGACTATAATTTGGAGAGTTGTTTGAACACATGTAGAAAGCATCATTTTGAGGAAATTCAATCTTAAATTATAATGATAGGTGACATTTGCAAGGTTATCTGGGACTGATAAACTATATAGTCCAAATACATAATTTTATAACAGTCATTTATACTTTGATTCTTTTTGTAATGTCAAGGCTAGAGTAAGAGTCAAAGCTGTAAAGTAGAAAAACATAATAAGAATTTATATTAAAATCAGAATTATGGAATAACAGAGTTGGAAAGATTATTATAGTATCTGTATCAGAATGATTTGTAATGCAAATGAGCATATTATTTGTTCACTGTATACAAATGGAAAGAGGCATAGCCCTCCAAAGGACAATGTAACTAACAGATGAGACTGGATAAGAAGATTAAAATGAAGGAAAACTTAGAGCGTGCAAGATGAAGAGGCATTTTTTATGTGTATCAGAAATATTGATAGTCCAAACCCTTGTGTGTATATATATAGGTTCGTTTAGTGTACTGCCACCTTATTTGTTTGGCTAATTTTTAGAAAAAATATAGAATATAAAGATTCTCTACAAAGAATCTTTGTAGATAAAATACAGAATTGCAGACTGGTCATAAACAAGTCTTAAACAGTTCCTGTGTTTGATTCAAGCACTAAGTGTTCAAAATGAAACCAGTCTTTGATTTCTTTTCATTTTAAATTTAGGCTCTTGTCTGTATTTTGTGTTTCTACATATAGGCAGCTGGACCCAACTGATAATGCTGCAAATAGAGTAGAATCTAAAAAGATTAATAGCTCTACACTGTTTGCAGGAATATTTTCTAATCAGCTTTATAAAAATTAAGCAACAGAATGGATTCATGCCAGAGTATATACTCTGAGATGTTTTTCTAATCTTCTAAATTTCCAAGGTGACCCAAGATATGATATAGTGGCTGTTCTGGAGAAAACGTCACATTTTATGAAGCCCATATTTGACCTCTAAACTCCCACATATTTTGTCTTGTCTTACAACTCCTCATGATACACCTCCAACTGTCTATCTTTTGAAAATCCTCAGAGTTCTTTAACCAACTGACTGAATTTGCTCTCTTGTTCCCCTCTGTCCTTTCCTATCCAGTAAACATTCTTTGTACAGGCTGAATAGAATATGCTACACTATCTGAGGCTGGTATCTTTTCTTTCCCCCTTTTAGTAATTGGCTTCTAATCTTGGCCATTCTATTTGAAAGTCAAGTCAATAATGCTGTTAAAATAAGGAGAGCCAGAGTTCCATACAGTTCTTATACAGTTGGAGATCTTGTAAGGATTCTATAAATTATTTTTTCCCTCAATTAAGTGTGATAAACATGGAATTCCTGTAGATTTGAGGCTTACAAGCTTGTCTGAGAGTTAACTCTCATTGAACTCAATGAGATGTCTTAAGTGTAAGCGATGTCATCATTCAACGCATCTAACAATCTTGGTGAGGTAGCCATATCATTAGTAGAAAGTTAAGCTTGACTGAAGGAAATTTTTACTGTTTGAAAACAAAAAAGGGGGAGTTTTATAATCTTTTACATGGGTTTATAAATCACACTAAGCTGTAGTGTGATTTGTCAGGTTTGACTTAACGTATAGCCATTGTGGGTTGGAAACTGTAAAATTTGGGGCACAGCGTTGTAAGTACCTACCCAAATTTGACTTATTAAACTAAGGTTAAGCAAAAGAAAATAATTGTAGTACAGTAAAGGAGCCTACTGTTATCTATATTCTTAACCCCTCTGGTGTTGTGAAGATAAATATGAGATCCAAGCTTTACATACCATTGGAGGGTGGATTTTCAGAAATGTTATAAAAAGATTTCTGAAAAACAAAGTTAGAGGAAATAACTACACATACACAGAACAAAAAATGTTCTTGAATTAACAGGGATAGGGTTTGATCAGTTCTGAAAGAGTTATGTTTTTTGTAACACAGTCAGTTTTGAGTCAAGTGATAAACTGAAGTATCACAACCTGCCAAGAGTAGGTTCCCCCCTTCATCAAATATAGCCCTGATTCAGTGGTCTCCAGTCTATGAAACTTGCTGTGAGAAAAATCAAAATCTTTAAGATGCTGCAGCCTGACATTTCTCTACATTTCTCTTGTCTTTTGTGGCTGGGTTGCTGTTCTCCTGGGAATGAACCCCTGTGCTCTTTTTCTTACAGTTTACCTGCCAAGTTGATCAATGGAGGCATAGCTGGGCTCATTGGGGTCACCTGTGTGTTTCCTATTGACTTGGCAAAAACACGTTTACAGAACCAGCAGAATGGCCAGAGGATGTACACCAGTATGTAAGTACCCCACAGATTTAAAGAGAAAAGAAAGCATTCATTCATTCTTATTTTTTTAATCAGTTGTTTTTTTTGTGTGAACTGCTTATATTTGTCTGCACAAAAATCCCGTGGAGCTGTTTACTGAGATCCACTAGGCCACATATTTTTAGTGGAACTTTGATCTTAAGCTAGTTCATCACAGTGTTTTGATTAACTGAGAGTTTTTTTTAGAGCTATTGTAGTAGTTTTAATAATCTTAAGAGTTGGGTGCCTATGAGAGACATTTCTGCATCACTGCTCAGAGAGATTTAACCCATTGGGTAGGTATAATAAATTTAAATAAGTAATAAAATAATTATGGAGTCATTCTAGCCATTGAATACAGCACCTGCTTTGTGCAAAAGTCCATATTAAAGCTTCAGTGACACATAAACAAATCTGGTATTTGTCATTCACTATTGGAACACGTGTGAATGTACATGCAGTAAGAGAGAAATTTGTTTATTTGCTTATATACTAAATTGTTATCCCACCTTTATTAAATAATTGAAGACAACAAACAGATATAATATTCTTTTCTCCTCGTATTTTCTCCCGTGAAATGGGTTGGGCTGAGAGAATATGACTGGCCCAAAGTCACCAAGCTGGCTTCCATGTCTTAGGTTGGATTAGAACTCACGAGCCCCATGGTTTATGGCCTGTTGCCTTAACCACTAAACCAGACCAGTTTTCTTACCATTTCTCAAAGTAATTAATTCAACTGTACTAGGAAATCTTTCCTAACAGTCCATTAAAATCTCCCTTCCTGTAACTTAATTGATCGACTTTCTACTCTCTAGGATGATTCAGCATAATTATTTATTTGATTAGATTCCTACGCCCTAACCCTTTTCTCTAGGAGCTCAAGCAGACTTTCTCAGGGCTATCCCTGCTTCAGCTCCTGTAAAGTGAGGTTGGGCTGAGGGAAACGGTCTGGCTCAGAGTCATCCACTGAGGTTTCACAGCTAAATGTGGACAGAGCTTGGATTTTCCCAGTTCTATTCCAACATCCATGATTCAGTATATGAATTGTTAGTGACCTTCTTCTGTTTTATATCCTTTCAAGTCCTTGAAGAGTGTTGTCGTATCCTATTCACTGGTTTTCTCTTCTCAAAACTAAACATTCCCAATTCCTTCAGTCTCTTTCATCAGGCATAATTTGTAGTCCCCTGTCATCCTCAAGCCTCTTCTCTGAAGCTTTGCCAATTTGTCTGAATCCTCTTTACAGTGAAGTGTACAGAACTGTACACAGTACCTAAGGCAGGATTCAACAACAGACAATGTCAATTTCTTGTGACTTGGAAAATGTACTTCTGTTAATGAAGCCTAAAATTTCATTCGCTTTTTTGGGCTGCAATCCTATTAAATTAATATTTAATCTTATTGTTGTCCTGTAGATTATTCATTTTTTATTTGTGCTTTCAAATCAATTTTGACTCATAATGACTGTCTGGACAAGTCCATGCAGTTTTCCTGGCAAGGTTTTTTTTTTTTGAGAAGTGGCTTGTTCTTGCCTTGTTCTACGACTGAGAGAGAGTGACTGGTCCAAGGTCACTCAATTCGCTTTGTGTCTAAGACATGACTAGAACTCACAATCTCTTGATTTCTAGCTTGGTGCACTGACCATTACACCAAATTATTTTAAACCCCCCCCTTTACTTCACCTACAGATTTAATTTAGTAAGTAATCTCTCTACCTCATCCTCAAATCATCCATAAAAAGATTAAAAAGCATGGAGCCCAGGGCTGAACCTTTAGCATCACCCTCCAGTCTAATGAAGAACAGTTAAGCTCTCTCTGAGTATAGTCTGGAGCCAGCTGTGTATTACTATACTAGACAACCCGTGATCCTTTGGGTCATCGTTTCATAGATATTTCCTTATCAGATTCCCCAATGTCTTCAACAATGGCAGAACTTCTAATATACTTGAAAAGTTCTTAAAAATTCAGGGAGATATTCAGAGATGAATCTGCCTTGAAAGTAGCCCATGATTGTACAGCATAGTCAAATATCAGGAGATGAACACACTAAATGTTTTATGATATTCTGTTTCCAAATATCGATTTTATGATCGTTTTTACATACCGGCGTGATTAGTACTATAATCAACATGCCTAAAGGATATTGGTTGGACATGCCAATTGAAATTGTCATCCTTTTATATCTGGACAAAATAGAAGGATAAAAGTTTTCATTTGGACTTGGAAGATCTGAGTTCTATTTCCCACTTAGTCTATTTTGGGCTACTCATTTTCTCAGCCTGATTTATCTGCCAGGATTAATGTAGAATAAAAACATTAAAAAACCTCACTCCATTGCCTGGGTATTGCCCTTTCATGTTTCATGCAGCAAGGTCACTGAAGGATTAATGCAGTATGCTGACTATCAAAGATGCTTTTAATACACAACAGGAGAGAAGCAATGCAATGGGAACCCTAAAAAAAGCTTTGTTTGTTTGAATCTGTTGATTATAGCTCCCCCGACATATGCTCTACTGACAGATGGGAAGATACATTTCAGCCTGTTAAAGAAATTATTATGTTATCACATCAGGTATTTCCAGGCTAGAGAAAATGGTCTCCAGGCTTTATTATAAAGTTGATTTTGGAAATCACCATCTCTTCGCACTTAAGAGTCTTTTGTACACTGAGGCAAATGGTAAGAGATAGATGAGGAGAAGGGTCTTCACATACTGCCTCAGTTTCTCTTTCTCATGTGGCCTGTTCTTAGTTAAATAAATGTCTGTGTTTATGAGACAAAGGAAACTTCATGTTTTTTCTCTTTTCTCTCTACCTCCCTCCAAAATTGTCTTGATCCTGCTTACCGTATATTCAAGAGCCCGTCTTTCAACAGTCCCTGCTGAATTCAAATCTCTCACAAATAATTATTCTGTTAGAATAATTATAGAAGTGGTCAACTTGTAAAATTATTTTTTAAAGAAAGAAATATCCTGCTTATAATATATATGATTGATCTAAAATTAGAACATTTAGCATGCAAAGTATTTTTGAAGTCCAAGTATTTAAAGTCTACTCAAGTATGAAAAGAATCATTCATCAAGGTTATATGACCCAAAATTTCAGCAAATAGGTGGCTGGGGAAACACTTTGCTTATGGCTATTTTTATTTAGCTTCAGATGTTTCTCAAAGGAATTGATGTTTTTTTATGAAAAGAAAATATTCTTGAGAATGAAATGTTCTTATTCTTCATTATATCTGGACTTGTTTTCTTGCTCTTATTTTTTTTAAGGGGTTCTGTACTTCTTATCAAAGGGGAGCTGTTCTTAAACAGTTTGAAAACAAGAATGAAATTCTGGCACCAATATAATGTTATTATAATGTTTTCCAATGTGGGCATCTGCTGAAGGGAATCAAGAGATGGCAAGTGACAAAATGTGCACTGTAACATCATAATGCAAACCCTGGAACTTACAAACTTGTATTCCATGTCAAGAAATACATTAGAAAAGGGCAGTGCTCGTGTTGTAATGTTGGATGAAGGGTTTGTCATTGGGGGCCAACTAGCTGAGCAGTGCTGTCAAATCGAAGCCTTGGGATGACTTTCTCTACTCATGATAGCCTGGCATCTAGACACTGAAACTGTTGGCACAACCTTTCCAATCTGTTTGCTCTCATATGCGCTGTACTGCAAGTCCAGTCAACTGGCTATGTGGATGGAAGTTGCTGTTCCACATATCTGCAGTATCCTGATTTTGAGAAGACTGAACAGTTTTGGTTGCCACGATGTAAAAAAGATCTTGAGACTCTAGAAAGAGTGCAGAGAAGAGCAACAAAGATGATTAGGGGACTGGAGGTTAAAACATATAAGGAACGGCTGCTGGAATTGGGTGTGTCTAGTTTAATGAAGAGAAGGACGAGGGGGGACATGATAGCAGTGTTCCAATATCTCAGGGGTTGCTACAAAGAAGAGGGAGTCAAGCTATTCTCCAAAGCACCTGAAGGCAGGACAAGAAGCAACGGATGAAAACTAATCAAGGAGAGAAGCAACCTAGAACTAAGGAGAAATTTCCTGACAGTTAGAACAATTAATCAGTGGAACAACCTGCCTCCAGAAGCTGTGAATGCTCCAACACTGGAAGTTTTAAAGAAGAGATTGGACAACCATTTGTCTGAAATAGTATAGGGTTTCCTGCCTGAGCAGGGGGTTGCTCTAGAAGACCTCCAAGCTCTTTTCCAACTCAATTATTCTGTTATTCTGGTTTTTTAGTGTATTAACATCTAATAACTCTTTGATCCATCCATCTTTCAAACAGGTCTGACTGCCTTATTAAAACAATCCGGTCTGAAGGATATTTTGGGATGTACAGAGGTCAGTATTACATTTCATGGTCACAAATAATTCCAGAAAGAAATCTTACTGAAAAATTTGCATCTAGATTAGAGGTTGCTAGGTTTTAGCCATATGGCTGCTATGCCTTTAGCTGTTTTATAGCAATTAGTGTTTCTTACCACTGAAATGCAATGATTTAGAAGGGATTCTAGGTGGCAGCCAGGAAAAGAGTGCCTATTGTGGCTTAATTTTTCAAATGTGAAGTAAAGACATTCCTCTATGAATTACAATTCAATTACAATTACAATTCAATTTTTTTTGTTGCCACATAGGTATGAGAAAACTTTATATAACTTGCATCAGGCTGGCAATTGGAAATATAGATTTTGTTTAAGGAAAATGTTAATTCAACTATTGTCATTAATATTAATCACAACTTTAGAAAGCAAATATACACATACCGTTTCTTGATAAAATCATTTCATATACCAACTATAGTTGTTTTATAAAAAAAAAAATTATTGAAAAAAATCTGTTGACTTTTAAAAATTTGTCCAGATTCCCATGTCAATATGAACAATAACTGAGAAACATCAAATTCCTGAACTTAATTATTAATCTTAGAAATGCTGGAGGATTGGGGGGTTTTTTTGCTTGTTTGTTTTTGGTTTGTTGTTTTTTCTGGTTAAAATCTTGTTATTTTTTACAACCTCACGAGAAGCTGAAATCTGGTAAATGAACATTTTCTCATCCTTCTGCTTGCTTATCTGCTTACCATACATCTGTTAAAGCTAGAAAGGTGTTGCCGCAGTAGTGACCAAAAGACATTTGTGTGTACCGAGCAGAAGAAACATCTTATCCACATTACATTAGCTAATTTACCTTCTGTCTATCTTGGAACGCCTTCATTTAACAATATAGTCCAAGATTAGAGGCACACAGTTTCAGTTCAAACAGCTATAAACCTTGAAGTAATTCATGTAAAGAGAAGGGTGTAGCTACAACTGAAATCTCATTTAGTTTATAGTACTAAAGATTTGCAAGAGTAAACATTTTTATCTGTTTCTCAGAAGAGGTAATGCAGCATACCAGAGTACCATAGCTTACTCTGCAGCATTGGGTAGCATAGATAAAGTTAGTTTTCAGATATGATTACATAAATCCCTGTCCTGTTTTAATGATCTTTAAAACAATGCTGCAATAGCTTTTTTGTAGCTTCTCAGAAAAGAACAGGGAGTGGCATTAGATGTACCTGGTAATGTCAAACCTTTTTAACTATCCGGAGGGCAGGTGCCTAGGGTGAATACTTATTTTTAATGTCAGTTGAGTTCAGAGCAGTTGTTACTTTCTAGGTTCAGCATCTATGATCAGGGCAATGATGCAACTAACTGGGAATGGAAAGTACAGGTTGTTCTTGACTTACAACCATTTGTTCAGCAGCCGTTTGAACTTAAAATAGCACTGAAAAAAAGTGAGTTACCACCAGTCCTCACACCTACAACCATCACAGCATCTCCGTGGTCATGTGATCAACACTTGGGCGCTTGGCAACAGGCATATTATGACAATTTCAGAATCTCAGGTTTGTGTGATCACCATTTGTCACCTTCCCAGCTGGCTTCCAACAAGCAAAATCAATGGAGGAAGTTGGACTTGCTTAATAACTGCATGATTCACTTAACAATTCCAGGGATTCACTTAACAGCTATGGCAAAAAAGGTCATAAAATCATGCATGACTCACTTAACAACCACCTTCCCCAGCAACAAAAAGTTTGGTTTCATGCTTATAAGCTCACTGGAATACAAACAATAAGGCCTGAACTGTGCCTTTCCTTTTAAGTGTGGGAAATCCAAAAAAGTAAAAACTGAAAACTTCCTTCCTTGTTAGAAAATGCTGGATTCCTTTGCAGCCTCTTATGCATCACAAAGGTAACTGGGGCCCTGATTGGATCTCCATTGTATCTGGCTGCCTAGAATTGCTGGGAGGCTTTTGCTGAGAGATTTTACAAACTTTAACTCTTGGCAGACTGCAACACAAAGGTAGCGGTATAAGTAAAAATAAAAAACAGGAGTACATTCAGGGCAAGTGTGTCTGAGATTCCCTGTATCTAAGAATGTCTGGCTTAGTTCAGTGCAACACTTGCTTTGCAGCTGTCTTTCGCAATACCCTTTTCAAACTTGGAAACTGTCTTATCTGTAAACAAATCACTAGTCTATGAGGACAGATTATTTATCTAGGGTCTGTAATCTGTGCTCTTCAGGCAGAAAGTAGGTGTCCAGTTCAGTCCCACTACTCTACTGAGCCTTCGCGCGATCAGCCCCCTCTGCCACAAAGATCCTGCAGGAGAAGGGCAGTGTGGACAACTGTGGGATCTGGCAGGGTGAGAGCTGTGAACCATAAATGTAAAGCTTTTGCTGTGTCCCTGCACAACAGATACAGTGCCCTTGCTGACCTTAATAGGGAAATTAAGGAGACAGGTAAAGGTATTTGTGATGATAATTCAAATAAGCAGGGGATCGTGTTCCGAGATGAAGAACTTGTTTTTGACAGGGAAAAGTGCGAATCAGGTATTACACATCAGTCATGCAAGAACAAAAAGGCATCCAAAAAGAGAAGCCACCTTCTGGTAGGTGATTCAATTATAAGGGATGTAAATTTAGGAAAGGACACAGAGGTTTCGAAAGAGGTCAGATGTCTTCCAGGTGCTATTGCCAATAGGGACAAGAAGCGTATTTCTAAAATAATCAAGAATGCCAGCAAGGACTGTGATGTGGAGGTTATCGTACATCTTGGCACTAACAATCTGTCCCAAAAAGATGTACTCTCTGTGCAGAATGATTTCCAGAGCTTGGGGCAGGAACTTAGCAGAACAGGCTGTAGGCTTACTTTTTCAGAAGTTTTACCAGTATATAAGGAGCAAAATAGAAAAGGCCAGCGTATAGCACAATTCAATATGTGGCTAAAGGAGTGGTGTAAAGGGGAAGGATTTGGATATATTAGTCACGATGTCTGTAACTGGTCTGATGAAAAAATGTACAAAAGAGATGGTTTGCATCCATCAAAGAAAGGGACTGAGTTACTCGGCTATAAATTCACAGATTTTCTGGAGCAATATTTAAACTAAACAGCAGGGACAGTGAGTTAATTGATACAGAACATCCCTGTCCCCGGCAATCTAAAAACTATAGGGCTATCAGTGCATGTAACATAGATGTGTGTGCGGACAAGAATATCAACCTTGCCATCAAGCAAAATCAAGCTTCTAATAGCGAGTGTCACACAAAGTGCACTAACCAAATAGGTAGTAAGACAATAGAGGAACTGAGGCACCACACAGGTTACGTAAAAGTAAACACAGGGTCAGTCATAAAGGACTCAAATGTCTATACACCAATGCACAGAGTATGAACAGCAAACAGGGTGAACTAGAAATTCAGGTTAATAAGGGCAGATATGATATTGTTGCCATTATGGAAACATGGTGGGATGAAACCCACAAATGGAACACACAGCTAGAGGGATTTAAATTATTTAAAAGAAACAGACCAAATAAAAGAGGAGGCAGAGTTGCTCTATATGTAAGAAATAACTACATCTCTACAGAAATAGAGCACAACAATGATAAAAACGGTCTTGAATGCATTTGGGTCAATATAAAAGGGGGGGAAAACGACATTACCATAGGTGTATACTACAGGCCACCCAACCAAACAGAGGAAATAGATGAACTTTTTGCTAGTCAGCTAACTAAGGTATGTAGGCAGCACATCACAATAGTAATGGGGGACTTTAATTACCCTGATATCAACTGGGAGACAAACTCTGCACTAAGTGGAAGATCAAACAGATTCCTGACAAACCTAGCAGACAATTTTGTCTGCCAAAAAGTAGAGAAGGGAACTAGGAGATTAGCCATATTGGATCTAATTCTCACTAACAGAGATGAAATGATAGAAGGTGTTGAAGCCACAGGAACTTTGGGAGGAAGTGATCATGCAATATTGGAATTCAACATTATGGAAGCACAAGCAATAGAACACAGTCAAACTAGAGTCTTGGACTTTAAGAGAGCTAATTTCAATACACTTAGAGAGGGCTTGGGAAGGATTCCATGGATGAGAATCCTCAAGGGGAAAACAACTCAAGAAGCTTGGGAAATTTTGAAAAGTGAGATAATAAAAGCCCAGTCCAGCACAATACCAACAAAGAGGAAAAATAACAGTTCTCAAAAGAAACCAGCATGGCTGCATAAAAACTCTCTGATAAATTGAAAGATAAAAAAGACAAGTATAGAAAGTGGAAAGAGGGGCACATAACTAAGTCAGAATATCAACAAATAGCCCGAGCTTGCAAAGATGAAGTGAGGAAAACTAAGGCTCAAAATGAACTAAGGCTTGCGACCAAAGTCAAAAATGACAAAAAAAGCTTCTTTCAACATATAAAAAACAAGAAAAAAGTGAAGGAAATGATTGGTCCATTAGTGGGGGAAAGTGGCAAGAAGGTGACAAGCAACAGGGAGAAAGCAGAACTATTTAACTCGTTTTTTGCATCTGCCTTTACACAAAGGGAAAAAACAGACCAACCTACCAAAAATAGTGCCATAAAAAACAGAATAGAAACACAATGTCCTGGCTGGTGCTGGCAGCTCGGGAGGGTACACGAGCCTGGCTCCAGGGAATTGTTAACGCTTCTTTGCAGGAGGGTGTCTTTCCTGCGGCCCTTAAGGAGGCCGTTGTGAGGCCCCTCCTCAAGAAGCCTTCCCTGGACCCAGATGAGTTGGCCAGTTATCGCCCAGTCTCCAACCTTCGCTTTGCGGCGAAGGTTG